GGCAAGGCACTGTCAAAAGATCTCTGGGATTAAGTTGTGGACAGGCACAAGCCAGGAGATGGATACAAAAAAAGATTTCAAAGGTTTTATCAATGCCTAGTAGCACAGTGAAGTCTGTTATTAAGAAGTGGAAGGTATTTGGTTCAACACAGACCCTCCCTGGATCAGGACGTCGCTCCAAACTGAATGAAAGAGCCAGGAGAAAACTGGCCAGAAAGGCTACCAGGAGGCCTACAGCAACTCTGAAGTAGTTGCAGGAATTTATTACAAAGAGTGGTCATTGTGTGCATGTGACAACAATATCACAAATTCTCCACAAATGTGGCTTGTATGGGAGGGTTGCAAGAAAAAAGCCACTCCTCAAGGAAAATTTAATTATTTGGCCTCAACACCAAACGATAAATCCAATACAGCTCACCATCCAAATAACAGCATTCCTACAGTAAAGCATGGGGGTGGTAATATCCTGTTATGGGGTGTTTCTCTGAAAGCACTCTGAGCACTTGTCAGGATAGAAGGAAAAATGGATGGGGCAAAATACCATCAAATTCTTGAGGAAAATCTGCTGCCCTCTGCCAGAAAGTTGTCAATGGGAAGAAGGTTTACCTTCCAACATGACAATGACCGAAAGACCACAGCAAAACTGAGCACACAGAGAAAGAGGTGAATGTCAGAGCCCAGACTCAAACCTGGATAAAAAACTGTGTCCGTCTTCATTTCAGGCTGCAAAGCAACAAAATGTGTTTATTTTAAAGGGGGGTGTTTCTTTTCTATACCCTATGTACAGTATGTATATATAGTGATTCTCTAATAATTCATATATATATATATATATATATATATATATATATTATCCAATATTTGTGGGCACAATGATTTTAGTGCTTATTAGAGAATCACTCTGTAAGCTTAGCAACATGCTAATGGCAGACTCTATTGAAATCAACTATGATTCAAGTTTCCCATGATAAGTGCTATTTATGTGGTGTGTGGAGGTGCTGCGTATGTAGTACATTCAGTTATGAGATTCCATGATGGCTAGGAACCTTCCTAAGTAGACAGCGAGTCAGCTCACTAGGCTTTGGAACAAAGCTAGAGTTTGAGAAGAAGTAAGGAGAGAGAGATGTGGCAAAAAGAGGTAAAGATGGAACGGCAAAAAGAGGTAAAGATGGAACAGCAAAAAGAGAAACTGAGGGAAATGTGGGAGACAGCGGTGCTGGAGGGAGGGTTTCTGAAGTATCCAGCACATGAAAGTGGTGGCTGTGGGTAAATCTGGAAAAACGACTGCAAAACTGCTGAACTCCACCACACGGCCTGCCAAAAGTGAGGGAAGCCACAAAGGGAGAAAAGGAGGGGAGAAGAAGCAAGGAGAGGAGCGTGTGGGGGATGCGGCAGAACATGCTCGCACATTAAGACCCATCAGATTCCCAGTCTAGTGAGAGGGGAGCACCGCCGTTTAGAACAGATCCCAGAGCAAAAAACAATATCTCTGCAAATTGGCCCAACCTCTTTCATCCTCAGCCAACAGCCAAATGTTTGGAGATCCAGTGCTTCTCTCTCCATTTCTCTCCTCATGATGAAAAAGGTATGGTTGAACCTCAGGCCACTCTGAAGGAAAGCTGTGAAATGCCATTGTGTGTTATTCATCTTGCGATTTTATTTTTATGTATACTTTCTATACATCCCATCTTTTTTGTAGCACTGAGCTGTAGAGAAGAAAAGGGCAGAGTGAGGCAGGTCAAAGGGAGTCTTCATTTATGCTCCTGTGTCACAACACAATCAAAAACACATGGCACTTTCTATAAAACGCTGTTTATTTTAGTGTCCCATTATTTTGTTGTGAAAACTATTATATAAAAACTGTCTAGATAAAATTGACCTAGGATGAAAAGTAGCAAGTGTTACATTAAATGTCTGTTACCATCATCCCTGTTACCACATGACTTTCTTCCTGCTACAAAACATGTACAGTACACTGACTCCTGAGAAATAACAGAATTTGCACCCTTCTACAGCATCCCAGGAAGACAAATATACAATAATCTTCTTCAATTTTCACACAAATTGTAGTGCTGACCATTAAACACTGTCACCCAAATTCACTGCAAGAAAAATTGATATGTCTTTAATTTCTTAGAAAAAAATTTAACAACTACAAACCAGCATTTGGTCCCAAACTATCCTTTTATCCCTTACTCAGAATCAGCTGAATTTAGGCTAAATTTGCAGGGTAGTTAGTTTTGATGATTATTTAATGTTTTTCATAATTCAGGATTTTAAACTGCCTTTAGACATTCCCCACATTCTGTTAACAAGATTGTAAACCTCATCTAAAATTAACAGAAAATAAACAACTAATATTTAGTTTGACCTCCTGAGGTTCAATCAATATTTCATAATCAATATTTCCTGTAGGTCTTTTTTTTTTTTTTTTAAGAAAAAAAAAAGTTAAGTTCTTTGAGAGCAAATTTTACCCCGATTGTAAAATAAAGAACCAATTTCAAAAATTACCTATCAAGGAAAATGTTCTTTTGATGAAACTTGTCATATAGACCCCTCTCAGAACTGAAGCAGAAATTTTTATAAGAAATTCTAAACCAGTGATCATAAACGTTTGCAGTCTGTAAGACATTGATGTCCTCAACATTATATAGTTTTACAATTATAAAATCAATAATAAAGAACTAAAATGGCAATTTAAAAAAAGTCATGTAAATATGAAAAGTCTGTTGTTTATAAACGTGTGCAATATGGCATGTCTAAAACATATCTGGTGTAAGTAAGTATGCATTGGCTGTAACTGTGTGAGTAAACGAGCATGTATACGTGTATCCGTCTGTGTGCATGTGAGAGGTGCTGGGCATTGGAAAAGCAGCACATGCACGAGCAGACCATGTGGGTGGGCAAACATATGCGGCTGGTAGGATTAGGAAGTGGTAAGCCACATCTTTTTATTACAGAAATGTCTCTCTAATATCTCTCCCTCGCACCAGGCTGTCGCCTCCAAGACTTGCTTACTTGGTCGTCTCCCTGAAAAGACTCTCAACCCAGAGTCTTTTATAATTAGCATCAAAACCCACACCAGATGTGTTTTACACACAAACCTCAGGATTTTTTTGGCCTGACCCAAGCGGACACACACCGTAATAAGGTGTTCTGTTCCGCTGCGGTACTCCAAGGCCAGCATGCACCTTTAATTAAATATCACCTTAGGCTCATTTAAATGCATGTCGTCATCTGAAGTGGTACGCTCCATTAGATCTCCCTTTTATTGAAGCTACCACTTCCTTTATCATGGCTTTCCAATTAGGTCATTTTATTATAAATTTATTGAGAAGTGCTTGGAATACTAGAGGTATATTTGGAATGGGATACAAGTGAGCGACTTACTAAAAAGTATGTACTACATGTTGCCTACAGTTTTTTTTAAATCGTATGCAATATAGCATGCAATGTGTAACAATAAACCCAATGATAAATGTATTTTTAACTCAGCAAAAAAGGTAAATCTTTCAAATAAATAGTTAAACTCAATTTTGTGTAAAATTTCTTAAAGGGACAGTTCATCCAAAATTGAAAATTCTGTCATAATTTATCCACCTTCAAGTTGTTCCAAACCTGTGTGAGCTTCTTTCTTCTGTTGAACACAAAAAAAGATATCTTGAAGAATGCTGGTAACTAAACAGCTGCTGGAGCCATTGACTTCCATAGTATGGAGAAAAAAAATACTATGGAAGTCAATAGCTACCTTCAACTCTTTGGTTACCAATATTCTTCCAATTATCTTCTTTCGAGTTAAAACTCATACGGGTTTGGAATGACATGTGGGTGAGTACATGATCACAGAATCTCTTTAACATTTTCCTGCAATAGAAATTTTCACTCCCTTAATATTCGGTGTGACGCGATATTTGGAGGGTAAGTGTGTACATTTGTGTTGTGTTAAGGGTTTTCACCTGGCAGTGGTAGATGTACTCTGGTGTAGTCTTCTTGAATTTCATATTCCACACCAAAGCCACACCATCTGGCTCATGAGGAGCGTCTTCATTGTTGTTGTAGGAGGCCACCAAGAGCTCAGGGTACTGGAAATACGAAGAGAAGAGAGTGGAGACAGGAGAAAGATGAGAGAGAGAGAGAGAGAGAGAGAGAGAGAACAGAGAAGAGGATGATAAAGCTGACTCAGAGACAAAGAATGGGAGGATTCTCCCTTTTAAATGAACAGGTGCTGACATATACAGGTCAGAGAGGGAGGTCAGTCTACCTGAGGGGACCAGTCCAGACAGGTGATGACCCTATGCTTTGACCAGTGCTCATCATAGAACAGACGACTGAGAGAGAGACTGGAGCCACCCTGCAGATCTCTGAGAGAGAGATACTCTTATTAACATTGGCTCTGGGGTTTTAATATACACTTTACTATATACAATAGAAAATTAAGACAGACAGACAGACAGATAGATAGATAGATAGATAGATAGAAACAGTGCATAAAACCTCTTTTAATACAATATTTTATCCATTTATATAAAAATTTCTAAATATTTAAATTAAGAAACAACATAAAAACAACAGTGTGTTTGTATACCAATACAGAAGAGCAAAACTAGAGGTTGTTAATGGATGACATCATTTTGCAACTTCTTTAAAAAATAATGGACACACACACACACAAACACATTTAGCTCATTGAGGACATGCTATAGTCTTCAATGGTTTTCATGTTAGCCTAATTATAAATACTACAAACTAACACCAACCATTCCTATTTTTGCTATATTTATATCACGTTCTGCAGACAATTTGTTGACAATACACTATAAATTTATTTTAAATGTGATAATTTCAACAGTGATATGATAATTTGTGTGACCATTTATTTTATGACAGAGCATAACACTAGAGCAACCTACATCCATTGCTTGAAAAAAATATTATATAAATATACAATTTACCTAATATATATGACCCTGGACCACAAACCCAGTCATAAGGGTCAATTTCTCGAAACTGAGATTTATACATCATCTGAAAGCTGAATAAATAAGCTTTCCATTGATGTACGGTTTGTTAGGATATGACAATATTTGGCCGAGATACAACTATTTGAAAATCTGGAATCTGAGGGTGCAAAAAAATCAAAATATTGAGAAAATCGCCTTTAAAGTTGTCCAAATGAAGTTCTTAGCAATGCATATTACTAATCAAAAATTAAGTTTTGATATATTTACGGTAGGGAATTTACAAAATATCTTCATAGAACATGATTTTTACTTAATATCCTAAGAAAGAAAAATCGATAATTTTAACCCATACAATGTTTTTTTGGCAATTGCTACAAATATACCCAAGCGACTTAAGACTGGTTTTGTGGTCCAGGTACAGATATAAATTAAATCCAGATAATTAAAGCAGTTTATATTGTGTAACTACATTTTGTGTTTTGGGTTCCATTTCATGTAGATTAATGGCCATTTGGATGTCAAAGTGGTCCATTTTCTCACATAAATTTCATTTCACTACAATCAAGTTTGCAATAATATAACCATTAGTAATGCAACCATTTATAAGTTTTGACTGTTGTTAAAGGAAATTCTTAATATAGCAATAAAATATGAAAAATAAACATAAAAATGCATAAAATACTTAATCTACTGTATAACTCAGAAACCATATTTCTATATAGAGCCCCATCTGTGTTACGCATCACTTTCTCACCCCTCTTTTTCCTCCAGGTCTCGTCCGCTGTAGTCAAAGAAGATGTTGGAGTCCTCAGCTAACGCTCTTTCCATCACACGAATACTGCGGTCGAAGAAGATGAGGAACTCCTCCGAGTGCAAAACCTGCTGTTTCTCTTCCTCCGTCAGCTCCCGCGGGTGGCCTGATACACACACAAGACAAAACACAACAAAATGAAGACGTAAACACAGCTGCCGAGTAAATAAACACAGAACAGGCCATACTTTTTAATGCACAAACACACAAAAGCACATGCCATGGCCGCAAAAATGGGCTATGTGTTAATACCTACCACTTACATACAATAACACTAACAAACGGATTTAACCACAGACAAAATCATGGCTGTACGGCATAACGATGAGCAGTAACCGTACAAACTAAACCTAAACAAACTCGCCCACATTCTTTTTCCTGACTCCCAACAAGCCTTGAAGGTAGTTAAGCCAATTAGAAGGGAGTTATGGGCATAAAAACCACAAACAAACAATAAATGAATAAGCAAATACATTAGCGAACACAAACAGCTCTTAGTTCTTCTTTCCATAATGACAACACGCCCAGTTTTTTCCTCCTTTTTTGATGTTATTGCGTTTCTCCATTTTCTCCCAGACTATTAGGGGCCCGTCCCTTTGATCTGAGCCCACTTGATTTGCGTGCCTTTTTTGATGACTCATAAGGAAGACAAAAGCGTGATCAAAGTCAGCGTGGAGTCAAAGCCCTCGTGTGCTTTCACAGTCTGCCTCTGTCCGGCCTCTCTCTAGTTATTTACCCTGTACACTTGCACAAAGAATGCACTCTCCGCTCGCTTTGAAGTCCACTTGCTGGGGTCTAGTGACATTAAAGTTCGATCAGGCCTGACCCAGAATGCCGCGGCCCGATAAGCCCAGCCCCCCGCCAGCAAGAATGCCATCTGATATGGCTGCAGGGGTCACACGCGAGTGGCCACTCAACGCTCCGCTGATCCTGTTTGGTGACTTTGGGAATTTTGACATGTGGGAGGCGTAAACACAAACTACTAAAGCAGGACAGGTAAGAAAAACGTGATTTGTACAGTAGTGGAAATGTTTGCATCATCGTTTTAAATGCTTACTGTACTGTAATTGTAAGATACACACATTACTTCACTGGCAGAAGGTTTTACGTCGCATAACAGCACAAGCTGTAAATCACATGGTAAATTATTAGAGACACTACGTTAAGTTAATAAACCCCTCAATGTCATGTCACTCCACCCATGGCTTATTAACCACTAACAGGATGCATTTCCCTTTGAAACATCAAAAGAAGGCGACAATAAAATCCCAGCTATGCCAACACAGAAGGAATTGCCCTTGTGGAACAGCCTCATTGAATTTTAGTCAGTGTGGGTAATTTATCTACAGATCTGTTATGGTTTCTATTGGCACTTATGGAACATGTGTGCAGAACATGCGACTCAACGTCAGGCTTTACTGTAAAGAGACGTCTCTCCCGTTGAGTCTGAACTGAGCAGATGTTGTTCCGTGAAACATCCAACATACAGAACTCAAATGTGCTAAATTTGTGCCAGGTGGAGGCTGTTTGTGTAGGGAACATGTTTTTTTTTTTTTAACAACCTTTGGAACACCTTCACACACACACACACATTTGCCATCTAAATTAGGATATACCATAGACTTATACAGTTGTTTTTTTTTTAAATAAATTTTTTTTTACATTTAAAATCATTTTAAATACAACAGACTAATTTTAACACTATAATAAAAAATACCTAATTTAGTATATTTTTAAAATAATATTATAGCTCTAGCTGTGCCATGTTGTAGAATTAGAGTATAAAATACAGTGGTTTCTGTATATAATATAATATAATATAATATAATATAATATAATATAATATTTGGTAGTTAAGGCATGTTGCAGCATTAGGGCATAAAATACTGTGCTTTCTAATAAGAAAATATAATAAAATAAAACAAAAAAAGAATAATAATATAAAGTAATAATACTTGTAATGATTTTATTATTATGAACAAAACATTTTTAATTTAAAGGTAAGTATAAAAAATTATCTTAAACCCTTGGTCTACAAGAATTTTTTGATTATTTATATTGCAAAAGTTATAATATTTAAACAATTTTCATATATTACATGAAATGTGAATAAATGAATGAATGAATTAATAAATAAATATTGCTGTTGTTATTATTATTAAAAACCATTTTGCTTATGTAAGTATCATTTCTGTCTTTGAGGACATCCCTGAATATCCTCAAAGGGAGGTTTCATAAGATTTAGCTAAGCAAACACACTCACACCCACTCTTACCTTCCTTTGTGTCCTTGCTTTCTTCCTCCTCCTGCAGGTCATTTTCTGGGCCAGCTTTCTGTTCTGTGACCTCTTCTTCCTCCTCTTCATCTTCTGAAAGGACACACAAAAGGTCACATGAGTTTCTGTTCTATGACACCTGCCAAACTTCACTGCCTCCCTGTGACCCACCCTGAGACCCAGACTCTTCCATAATAATAGCTTACAGATCTTCTGTACCTGACATACTGACTCATTTCACAATCAGACTCTTTACTAATCAGACGCACTCAACTCGATGCTTGTTTTGGATCAACACGGCCTGTTGTTTTTTCGGTTCGATGTGGATTTGCACAGCTGCATTTTCACAACCGAGAGCTCTAGAGAAACAACACACTCAGTTAAAAGACACTTCCTTCAGGACCCAAAGAACATATGTGCTACACGTGTGCATGCGTTTGTGTGAGTTTATGAATCCAGAGGTCCGCTCATGAAGAGAGGCACAGATACCCCACAGGAAGCGGAGCGGGTGAGTGGCGTGGCCTCTTTCTGCACTCGATCAACCACCCCCAAACGCCTGCCCCGGGGCCCCCCAGACCCTGAAGACTCACCCCTTAATTAACCTAGTCACCTCAGTCAAAGACCCAGCCTTGCGCTACCCACTTTCAGCCACTTGCTACGCCGTCTGAAGCACTGGGCATGTGTTCCTAGCCTTCTCCATTACCCTGTCCCATGCCTGCAGATGGCGAGAAGGATGACGCTTAACACCCTCACAGGCACCTGTAGACGGGGCACACACACAGTCACGCTAGCATACACACAGAGCTCTGTGGGATTGTTTTCTTGTTGAACCCCAGTGGCAGAGGTTAATTATCTGGGGTCGGGCTGACAGTGGGTGCCCAGTCTGCAGAAGGAAGTGATCCCATCGTGCCAGACGTGTTGCGGCTGACTCTCTTAACACCAGTGTATTTGTGTTCACACCAGTCAAGGAGGAGGCAAGGGCCTGGAGGCACGCTTAACAATGATTTAAGCATTGCAAGAATGCAGTCGCTTACATTGTTGTGGATTAAGCTGTAGTATGACAGATTTGCCGCCTTTATTGGGGTTTAATCTCAAACAATAATGTTTTTTCCTATATTTATCTCTATCCAATACTGCTTAAAAATAGGGTTCTGGAAGGAAAAATTTCATTTTTTCCCCCCATAGTGAAAGCCACTTAGAAATATTGTACAGTACCATTCAAAAGTTTGGGGTCAGTAAGATTTATTTATTTATTAAATTGACCAAAAGTGACAGTAAAGACTTTTAAAATGCTACCAAATATGTCGATTTCAAATAAATGCTGCTCTTTTGAACTTTCTATTTTCCAAAGAATACTGAAAAACATATATCCACAAAAATATTAGGCAGCACAACTGTTTTCAACATTGATAAAAATAAGAAATGTTACTTGAGGACCAAATCACATGTTAGAATGATTTCTGAAGGATCATGTGACACTGAAGACTGGAGTAATGGCTGCTGAAAATTCAGCTTTGCATCACAGGAATAAATTACATTAAAATAAAATTAATGAATGTTAGAAACCATATTTAATTGATGTTCCACTAAGGTCCGCCTCAGTTACTGTTGCTAACTCAAATACCTTATAACTGACTCTGCAACATTATTGCAGTATTATTGGATATTTTTCCCTTCTTCAAGCATTGTTTTTATTTGCTTAAAACTGAATATGATGTCCACCTTGACTAGGTAAGCAAACAAAGTACATTTATTCACTCTTAAAATACAAATACTTTTTTGGTTTGAATCAAATGTGCATAGATAGAATATACTCTATGTTGAATTCATAATAATGAATGCTTTGTGTTAATACAGTATGTACACACTTGAGTTAAATCCATGGCATACGAGCATAAGCACAGAGACAATTTATTCCCCAGAGGTTGAATGTGGATCACTGATGTGAGTCAAGTCTGGCCCGGAGCAAGTGTGGTTTAGCTGCTGAATACGACTGAGCTTCTGAGCCAGAGACCAGCGGGGAATAGAGGAGTCCTTAGACCCCGACAGGCAGCCAGCCAGCCCAGGCCGACCACACCACCATGGACTGCTCTGGCCTTGTTTCTCTTTTGCTCTCATCTGTTTTTACCGCAAGATGAAGACAGAGCCCTGCCATTCATTTTCAGTTTGTTCCTTTTCTCTGGGGCCTGACAGAAAATAGCACAGGCAGAGAACGGGACACCTCTTGCATACCAGAAGACCCACATGCTAGACACACTATGTCAGAAGGTTTTGGATTGGGATGTCCAAGTCTGGAGGAGGATGTGACCTGATATGACCAGGTCTAGAGGAAAGTCATTCGCAAGAAGCCGCGTTGACCACACAGACGGGGGATAAAGCAACAACAACCCTGATTCATGGTTGTGGTCAAAAGGTTCGCAAACAACGTTCAAGAGGTTTGCAATATATCCGCAGATCCCTGTGGCTTTTTGGCCAAAGCATGTTTTCGTGACACCCCTTATCGCTCTGAAAAACATCAGCACTGTGGGCCAAAATTCAGTGAGGGAACTTTCAAGCCAATTTGTAAATTAAACTATGCCCTTTAATCCATTTATAATGCATCTGACCTTCCTATCCCAGTCAGAATGTTTATTTGCGCTTCCCATGAGGTGACAGCAACCAACATGTCATCAAGGAATCGGTTCGAAGTCTTGAAAGTGAAGAAGAGAAGGATAAACAAGACAACTTTAACATACTCTACCCTGGTGCTTAATACGGGTTCACTCAGTGGGAAGGAACATTATGAACCATCCACCCCGCTCACCAGGTTGATGAAACTGTGGACCTGCCCTGCAAGGTATTGACATCCCCCCCGACTTACCTGCCTTCAATCTCTTCTCGGTTTCCTCAAGCTGCTCAAGCAATTCAAATCTGCCGTTTGTCAAGCTGCTAGTCGTAATGACCAACACAGCAGCAGCACTCAATCAAAATAGGACTTCCATCCTTAAAATCACAAGCTTATCTCAGGGTGTAGGACTCATGACACCCGAGCTAATTAACTGCTTAATTAGGCAACAGAAATCGCTATTTGTGCAATGGCTGGGTGCAGGGTATGTGAAAGATTAGTTCTGGTTATCACATATTAGAGTAGCGGTGGCAACATTTGACTCGTTATAGAGGGTGCGAGAGAACGAATTCCTCTGAATGTGGTAAGGAGGATCTTAGCTCTTCCTGCTCTAAAGACACTGCACGCAATATACCAGGCACAAATGGTTCACAGATGGACGTGGTCATGGAAACATCAGTGCTGAAGGAGAATTACGGTGCACTTGTCAGGCTCACACTACCATAAAGTTTTCATGATGTTAAAGCATCTTAAACTGGTTTACTTGAGATCAGTAATCCTTCTAGACCAGCAGTTCTGAAGGCCCCCTACAAACTATGTTAACTGAACTATAACTACTAATATATATATATATATATATATATATTGTGACGAGCGTCCCGAAGCTTCATCAGCGTCGCCCTGGAAACAAGCGAGGAGCACCTGGCCATCATCATCACAGGCTGATCGGTCACAGCTGCACCTCATCAGGCGGCGGTTACATAAACCACGCAAGCCCTGCCATCTAGGAGATTCCTCCATGAGACTGAGCACTAACTCGCCCTCTCATTTCTCCCACAGACAGCAGCGTGTGACCGACCAGCCCCACAGGAGCACTGCACGGACCCTCTGCACTGGGAAGAGATGTATGGTTTGTTAGGATAGGACAATATTTGGCCGAGATACAACTATTTGAAACTCTGGAATCTAAATATTGAGAAAATCACCTTTAAAGTTGTCCAGATGAAGTTCATAGCAATGCATATTACTAATCAAAAATTACGTTTTGATATATTTACAGTAGGAAATTTACAAAATATTTTCATTGAACATGATCTTTACTTAATGTCCTAATGCGTTTTGGCACAAAAGAAAAATCTATAGTTTTGACCCATACAGTGTATTTTTGGCTATTGCTACAAATATACCCCAGTGACTTAAGACTGGTTTTGTGGTCCAGGGTCACATATTTTGTTGCTTTGCAGCCTGAAATAAAGACGGACACAGTTGTTTTATCCAGCTGTATTTATTCAGTGCAACTTATAACATCCAAGTGAAAGATATAACACCAACATGTCAGAAAAAAATTAAATAAAAAAAACAGAATCACTGAGTTGGAAAAAGGATCACCCCCTTGTGTCAGTATTTTGTTGAACCACCTTTTGCTTTAATTACAGTCTTTACTTAGTCTGTTGGGATATGTATCTGTCTTGAATAACTTTGCACATCTAGACTTTGCAATATTTGCCCGCTCTTCTTTGCAGAACTGATCAAGTTCAGTTAAATTTGATGATTACCGTTTGTGGACTGCAGTCTTCAAGTCATTCCACAGATTTTCAGTGGGGTTTGAGTCTGAGCTCTGACTAGGCCATGCAAGGACATTCACCTCTTTCTCCTTCTGGTCAGTTTTGCTGTGTGCTTTCGGTCATTGTCATGTTGGAAGGTAAACCTTCTTCCCATTGACAACTTTCTGGCAGAGGGCAGCAGATTTTCCTCAAGAATTTGATGGTATTTTGCCCCATCCATTTTTCCTTCTATCCTGACAAGTGCTCCAGTCCCTGGTGCAGAGAAACACCCCCATAACAGGATATTACCACCTCCATGCTTTACTGTAGGAATGCTGTTATTTGGATGGTGAGCTGTATTGGATTTATCGTTTGGTGTTGAGGCCAAATAATTACATTTTCAATCATGTTGCCTCAGAATCTTCAAGGTGTGTTTTGTCAAAGCTCAGTCGTGACAGGTCGCCTCTCTGACCAGTTTCCTCCGGCTCATTCATTCAGTTTGGAGCGATGTCCTGATCCAGGAAGGGTCTGTGTTGTACCAAATACCTTCCACTTCTTAATAACAGACTTCACTGTGCTACTAGGCATTGATAAACCTTTAAAACAATTTTTGTATCCATCTCCTGACTTGTGCCTGTCCACAACTTATCCTTTTAGATCTTTTGATGGGTGCCCATATAGTTGATTGTTTGCTTCAGTTGCACTACCAAGGACTGAAATGCTCC